TAAATGTTAATGACCCAAACTTTTATTTTCTTGATCATATTTTCATAATTTTAATTATTATAAGATAATATTATTAGTTTCATAATTATTTTCATAGAATTTTTTAGGTTAAATTTTATACATTTAGGTGTTTAGGGCATTTAAGGATTTTGGAGTTTGATAAATCTTTGGATATCAAGATATATTGAATCTTTGAGACTTAAATTGTTTTTGAGTTTCATAACTCTTATTCAAATTAAAAATAATGTTTGTAATTTATTTTTACCGGTTCATTGGCATTCTATGTAGTGATTCTGAGATTCAAGCGAAATTGAGGAATCAAGTATACTAGTCCTAGTTTTCAATTTTGACTTAAGTTCCTACGAGACTCAGACCTAATTTCTATCACTAGGTCAAGTGCATGATGTGTGTATATGATTCATGAAAAGGTGTTCGAGTTAAAGAGTGACCCGAATATGGATATTCACTACAGTTAAGTAGTTGTAGAATTCACATATCAATGTGAAATCTAAGTGTACTATCCATTGTTTCTAATTGTTTCCAAGTTTCTAGTAGGTTATAACATAGCCTCTAGTTACTAAGTCTAGTATGTGTCGTGCCTATAAGTGCAACTAAGTTTAGTCAAATCTAGAACCAACTCGAATTTTGACGGTTGTCACACATAGCAGACAAAATAAAGAAAACATATAATAATAGTGTTGTTCCAAAAAGAGTAGACATGATTAGATGAAGTATCAGTGGACCATGAAGTGAGAAACAAATTTTTTCAAGTACTACGTTTTCCCTAAAATATAATGTCAAATCTTCCGAATAAAATTCCCCTGGACCCCAAAAATAACTATCTAGTGCACACTATTCAGTCTATAAAGGTAAAATCCCCCTCAGTTCCATTGAATTGAAAACAAAGCCTCCCCGTGTCCATCACACCATCTGGATGCCAAACATCGATTCCACGATTGCTTAAGAGATCTCGAACAGCTGGCCCTATCACCGGCGAATCATGAGCTCCGTCAACCCCTCTAACACCATCATCTTCTTTATCTGTGATTAGTGTAAAATCGTGGATAGCTGCACATAAGATACCATTAGTGTATAAACTTGAGAAATTTCGGATAGTGGATTTTGCATGTTATAACATTACACTTTTGCATGTCATGTTATGCCATCTTACTTTGATAATCTAACAGCTACTTTATAATTAAACTTAATTAAGCCATCTTTTTCAATTTGTAAATTCCCTTATTTTTTATGTATCTGATTTTAAACAAGCTAATGTGCTGGAACACTTAACAAGTAGTATACTAAATTGCAAATATTTTAAAAAACTGTCAATGTTTCACTTAATAGCATGCATTTTGGGCACTTGCTAAAACTTTCCTAGAACTGGGTTTTCATTAAATTGTAGTCCTTTGCTAAAACTTGCTAAAAGTATAATTTAATTTTTATATTTGTAAACGATTTACACAGAATTTATGTCACGTATCCTCCAAAGAAAACCTAAGCAACATCTCATTATTTTCTGTATTTTGTATTCAGCTGATGATTATAGCAACGTACTTTAGATTATTAATTAGCTACCTACATATAAAAATTGGAGTTAATAGAAAGTACGTTGTTATAATTCGGATTTTCAGATAATCCAAATATTCGAAATTTTTCAGAATTATATGATCAACAAATTGAAACTTACATTTGGTCATTGATGTGGAAAGCATCAAAAGCTTTACGATACGTGTAGCAGAAGCTTCACTTTGTCCATACAAGTTAAATGTGTGAGAAGATGTCGAGTTACGATTCCTGCAATTAGCATATTTAGAAATTAGAATTTTAATTGGGCAAAAGTTGTAAAAATAATTCAATAGTGTATTGAATTTGAAACAAACTCATAGAGAAAAATTGTTGTAGAATCTCTTATATCTTGAATCTCGGCCAATTCTCTTGATCTTTCTTTTGTTTTCCAATTACTTGTATTCGGAGTATTTATTGCCTGCATATATTTAAAATAAAATATGTTAACAAGTAATTTTAAAAATAAATTATAACAAAATCTACTTACAGCTTGTAAATCCGCTCTGTACTTCGACCAACGAAGATGGGATATTTCTTTAATCTCATCGTAATCCATGTAAATTTTATGGGGATCGTAATCATGTATTCCACTAA